AAAGGATGATTACACAGTTTTCGTAATTGCATGACAGTGTTCATCAGGGTCCTGACACCCGCCGTTGCTCGCTGGAAAAATCCAATTGACATTAATTAACATAAAAATCAAAAGTCGTAGCTTATTAGTATCCCTGGCATGGTTTATCAAAGACTACTAAGGAGAAGTCAAGCACTAGAGCAAATGAGACAACGCCATAGAGACTACAAAAGGATGACAGCTACTTAAGTTGTGTGCAAGGCTGTGTGCGCGTGTGAAGCGCAGGATATTTTGCTCATTTTTCACACAACTTTCGACAGACCAACAAAAAAATTACCTTGTTTTTATCCGCTTCCCGAGTTATCATGACGCTTTTCGCTTGCATGTGATGATAGAGAACGCGCTGCAAAGCGCTCATGTCACATTTTATCACGTATTCGACCTAGAAATAAATAAACTGAACGAAACAGGAAATAAGTGAGGTTGTTACTCGAACTCATGATAGCGTTTTACTGTCTCAAAACATATCTAGATCGTCTTTAGAAAACAATTCAGTGTGCAATGAGCCACTATTCCGTCAGTCGAGAATAATCGACATGATAGAAAGTAATGTGTTTATGGAATGGCAACTTATAACGCCATGGCAGGCTGCTTAGGCAGATTTTAAAGTTTGGAGGTTAACGTTTTCTAATCAGAGACTTTAACCTACATTTAGTGATTGAACATAGAGACGGTACCGGTTACTGAAACATCTTTTATGATGAGCAAAGCATTGTTCAAGTCAGTAAAACAAAACGAGATACACAAAATTACAGTCACTCACGTACCACGAAACAGAACACGTTTAACCAGCCTCTCATTCATCTATAAACAGCGGGACAGCACAATGAACAAGTGTAAACAGATTTTCTATAGTACAGAATAACCAAGCAACGTTTCCTTCAAGTTTTAAGGGAGGTACTGTTCACGTCGAAGAAACTCAAGCTGCTAAGAAATACAGGTTGAAAATCTATAATCAGAAATGCTTGGGACAAGATTCGGATTTTGGACCTTCTAATTTTGGAATACATGATAGAGTGGAGCTGAGGAGAACCGAGAAGAAAATTCAAACTTTCAGAAAAAAACTAGCACAGAAATCACAGACAAAGAGCACTGACAATGTTTGACGGCTTACTGCATACCCATGAAACAGTCGTGTTAAGAAAGGGAACCGTCAGGAGAACGTTCTCCCATTCGGTAGAAGCGTCTCTATAAGGAAAAGGAGAATAGAGGATCAGAAAATTCGGAAATACTAACTATTAAAACCATTTCACAAGTTTTCTCCCCAAACGCTCTACTTGGACACACAAAATAAACAATCCGTTTCCTTTGAATAAAAATATTTATGACTCAAAACAGTGAGTTCCCATTCCCAAAGGCTGTCAGCTGTGAGAGTGAAGTTACGGAAGTTTCAGAAAGCGGTAGAGCAGCTCCTTACAAATCACAAAAAACCTTTTTGACTTAGTTTTTCCACAAATTGAAACGACCCGGTTTCGTTGTAGCACAACATAGTCAGGTACAGAAAGAAATTTTCATACAGCTTATATAGATTTGAAGGGAGGGGTCTGAGGAAGGAGGAGGTGGAAGTCAGGAGTTAATGAGTTGTTTCCATGATAAAACGCAAGCATGAACAGGGTGTTTGACGTGTTCTTCCTTTTGATCCTGCAGAAAATAAGTAGTGATCAAGTGCGATCATGAATGGGGCGTAAAGAAAAACGTTTGACCATCCGGCTCCCGTTAAACGGAGGGAGAATATTCTGTATTTGGTCGGGTATCAGGCTACGTCTGCCGTTGTTCATACTACGCAAAGATATTTCAGAAACCTCAAGAGAGTTAATACAATGTTACGGATTCTGGAATATTTCGGAATTTCGGATTGAGGATATTCAACTAGTACTAGGATTCTTTTTTGGACACGGTAGGACTGTCCAAAAATAACAGGGAGGGAAGATGTGCGCAATGAAAAATCGCCTAGCCGAATTCAAGAGGGGTATGTGTTCTTTATAGCTAATTTCCCAGAAAAATAAATTTTTCCCTGGAAATAACCCAACGATCTACACATCATGGCGGTCTGGTGTGACTCTGCTAGACCTTCGGACATTTACTGACTGTTGCACGCGTTTATCGAGGCAGCGCATTTAGACAACTTACTTCTCCAGCAGAACAAACAACTGATAGTCAGAACAGTAAGCAGATCATATGCGTAGTATGCTAATAAAGAATTCTCAAGTTACAACAGCATCTAGTGAGTTCAAGAGTTCAAAACTGAAATTGAAATTTCTGTGTAATTCGAGATTTTCTATTAAATTTACAAGCGAATGAAGTTCTCCTGGAAACGCATACCTGGAACCTGAGTATTAGATTAGTGCATTGGTGGCAACACAGAAACCAACACAAAGCAGTTTTAATTCATACATAACGAAAGCAATTTGCTCGATCGTTTGTCTAACCAGTATGACATTTCAGCCAATGTTTCACGAATCTTCTTCAAGGTAGGGATATGAAATAGCTCGAAAGTCGGTTTTATCTTTCGAGACATTTCGTATATTTAGAGCAAAAAAGCTTTCCAGAAAGAAGTTCTGAAGCTAATACTAATACACGTCTATACCTTGAAAAAGACATGTGAGACGCGTATCAATAAACCATATTGCGCTGTTTTCAAAAAAATTACCTGGATAATTCAAAAAATTTTGACGACTTTATCATTTGAAAGATTTAGACACATGCCAAATGAAAGCTGTGAAAAAATGTTTATGAAATAATGCACAATTATTAACATGAAAATATTTCAGGTAAAACATGACTGATTTTTGCTGCCATACCTTGCTGCAAGTTTTATCTAGAGATTCTGCAACGATACAACATATTATAGTGATTAAATGTGACGTAAGGCAACTCACAAAATTTTACTTAATTTGAATTTTTATCACTGATTCCTTTTGAATTTCGAGTCAATTAGGTTCTGCTGCAGAATACAAACCTGCATGCGTCAAATATACATGAACAATTACGATTTGTCCTTTTACATTGCCATGCAAATTGACAAAGAGACGAATAATTCCGCGCAAAGTTAAACGTCAAGTAACGATTTGACCTTTGTGAATATGTACCGTAACCTTTGGCAACACAAGCGTTTCGGTGATTCTTCCCTGGGTATTTACGTTAGAACAGCTTCTATATACAACTGAAGTAACCCAACTTCTTCACTTAGTGGCCAAACCATCGATCATTTACGCAGGTTCAAGACGTTCTTCAGAACAGAAAGAACAATATTTCATTTGCCTTCCCGTATTATCAGTGCTTTTCCCTCATCTGGATGTAGTTTTCTGATTTTCAGTTTTACATCACCGAACCAAACAGTCTGTTCTCGTTCAACTTCCCTCTCACTGATGCTAGTACTGGAAATGTTTCGATTGCTTGTTGGCACAACGCCAAAATGAGCTATTCCTATAGTAAGCAAGTCAGCTCTCGCCCATGCCTTTTCAATGTGGCCAAACATTCAACTGCGCGCAACAATCGTAGGCATATTATCGACTTTTAAATTATTCCCTTCAGTTTGCTGAATATTCTGTTATCAGAGAGAACGCTGCTCATCTGTATCTTTGTTTTATCACTAATTTTGGGCTTCAGCTTGCTTATGTTCTGTTGCCTTCATATCGCTGCTGTTTCTTTCCATGAATTATACTAATCATAAATACAACTCTAACATATGATTTAAAATGGGGTATAGTTTACTTATTGGCTGAGAAAACGTTGCTCGGCCTCAATACTCACTTTTTCCGGTAATTGAGATTCAACTTCTTTTTTCAGTCGTCGCAGCAAAAACGGCCGGAGAACCTTGTGCAGTCGACGAATGATAAGCATCGTTTCTTCTTGATTCAGTTCAACCTGAACAAAGGGCTTAGACTAAAGAAGACGAAAAGCAAGACGCTGGTTAAAAAATATACGGAAAGGCGAAATCATCTGACATTCAAATAGTTATCGACAACAGGCGAAATTATTCTGTATTTCGAACAAATATTTCGTTAAGAGAAAACATTTTATTATAACCCATTACAAGGAAATTAGGTTTCGACTGGAGATATATCAGACATTTTCTATCAACATTCAACAGTTATCCACATCTGTACTAAGAACCATGTTAATTATTTGCTTAATTGTGGATATTATGTTCTCATACTCTGCTGTCTATGAATCCAACATCATGCATAAGTTACGACAGTAAGAAAAGATCAGGAAAAAGACTGTATCCTGGCACAACAAGTGGATAGAAGCGACCACTTACAAAATGACGTCTCCTATGATTTAATGGAAAATTTTAGGTAAAAACGGGAAACAGAAAATATAGGACTGGGAGCACAATTCTGAAGTAACTATGAAACGGCATCATGAAATCCGCTTGCAGAAGAAATCTTCTGGTACCAGAGACATGATGCCTGGCAGGAGAACTTGGGAAACGGAAGGAAGTGAGAAGGAAAAACATTCTTGCCACTGGAATCGCACAAGATGAAGCAAATGGGTGAGAAAGTCTGCATAATGTTGCAAACGGAAGACTGCGCTTATTGCTAGTAAAATGCCGGAAATATCTGCTAAAGAAACGGTTAAATCGGCAGAATGATCTTGAAGAAAAGTAGGTGATAAGACAGCACCATATACGAGCATGCAGTCCCGATAGAACTAACGCAGCCTACGCTTTCAGCTTAAAGGAACGCGTCATTCACAACAGCACCTCGCATTGAACAATAACCTTGCAATATGTGCAAGTGCATTGGCCCAGAAAATCTAGGAGTGGAAAATAGAGGCAAGTTAGAGGTTGAGAAGGGAAACAACAAATTCCGTACCACGCATACTGATACGCAGTAGAAAAAAGTTGGTACTTTACGTTCTTGCATTAAATAAAACTCTTCAAATCTAGAGCGGTGCGTCGTCATCTTAATATGATGACTAACTTTTGATCAACTAAAGAAATAGGCCATCATCCTTAAATCCTGCATGACGCGTTGCTGCATATTATATAAAATATGGGTTCATAGAAAGAGAATACAATAATAAACGTGTAATTTCCCCAAGTCAAGTTTCATTATAGTATCTTCAGATCCTAGATGGTCTTAGAGGACCATTTAAACAAGCGAACGATCTATGATAATACAGCACCCACAGGTGAAATACACCAATGCTTTCTCATATCACATTATTTATTATAGCATAATATTGTTCATCAACAATAAAGTTTCAAGAGGACATACTCGTACTCTGCTTGATGGTTTTATTCTTCGATCATTTCAAGCTTGGATACACGTTTTTGTCATTCTGCCATATGCATCTCTTCTCCTTCTAGCTTGTATCTTTTAAGAAATTTTTCTCCTCATGTTAGGTTCTCACCCTCTCATCGTTAATTAATCTTCTTGAATAAAATATCGTGTCTTTCTTAATGTTCCGTTCTCTTTGTTCCTTGTCTCAGTGCTTTGTAGTTCCTGTCAATTCCGATGGAGTTCTGGACCTCTGCGAAATTACATAAGGAATACGGCTTCACAAAACGTGGTAGGAACAAGCCATCCTATGCAGCAAAGTGATGTTCCCCAGTGTCATGGGCAGGTAAAATGTCCCCTCCCCCAATGCATTCAGGATCAGAATGAAGGAGCCAGGTTGGAAATTTCGGAGGAAACCATAAACGTTAATGTTGGGTAGCCTTCACCGTTCTAGATCCAACAGACTGTTTCGACGGACGGTTTAAATATTACTAAACGTAGGAATTCATCAGTGTAGCGCAGTTGTGCTTATAACGATAAAACAGGGAGATTAATCCTCCAGGTTTGAAAATCCTACTGCTCTTCTCCATATTATTCTTCATCCCACTTGGGTCACAGTCGAAAGTCATGGCCAACACCTCTAGGATAGCGACTATAAGCTCCTGAGAGGTCCCTATTAAAAACTGTTTCGAGGTAGACAGATGAAAAACGATACATTATCATTGATAGACATAAACCATGTGGCTATTGGTGATAACTGAGTACCGGCGTGCTAACCGACCGACGTGTCGCAACACACCATTCCAGCTTCTGATTACAACAGTGTTGCTCGCCTGAGTTGGCAAAATGATGACACGGTATTTCGGCTTCCACATATATTCAAGCGAATAGTAGCACTCGCGACTGGAAGAAATAACCGAAGCGTGTTATCTGCAGATTAACCGAAAGACAGGTAGTCAGTTATCGCCTATATACGCCTATTACAGGTATGTTAATATACCGTTTAATAGTTGTTTAGTCTATTACAATGGACAGACAATCATAATGCCCCATATATGACTATTACCTTTTCTCCAGTCGTCGCAAAAGGAGCGTTGAACCACTGCTCGAAGTTGTTGCAACACTTGAATATGCTTGGCAGTAAAAAGTTCAGCAAAGCCCAGAGTTCGGGAAGTTTGTTCTAGCGAAAAGAGAGGGTCAACATGTCAAATACACACTGCATCTAAAGAACAGGTAATTTTACTTGCAATGGCGTCCCGGTTAACAGGAGGCGATGCGGAGCCGTATAGTACGTATTTAACACCTGTGTCAATTTACAATGGTGGTTTTTCATACGGTGGCCTTCGTCGATGATCATGTACTTCCAACGAATCTGAATCGGGCAAAGATGTGCACAAAATGCAAAAACAAAATCTAACAAAAAAGCCACCTTCGAAAGAATCGCCTTGTCCTTGATGATGTATTCGTAAGTGGTCAACAGTACATTAAACTTCTCGTGTCTCGTCTGGTAGGAGAGGGAACGACGAACGGTCGGAGAGCCTTTGTATGTGATTTTGGTAGTTGACGGGCTCCATTTATCGAACTCCATCACCCAGTTAGACAGCGTCCTGAAAGAAAAACAAAAGCAGCAAATAACATAAATCACGCCTGAGACGATAAAGCAGTATCTTAACGTACGAAAGCGGAACGATGATGAGGAACGGTCCGGTAACATGTTTGACAGCGATCAGGTAACTGAGCAATGCGATCGTTTGAATCGTCTTACCGAGACCCATTTCGTCCGCCAAAATGCCATTCAAATTGTTGTTGTATAGTGACACCATCCATTCGAGACCTTTGATCTAAGTGTAAAAGAATATAATAACAACATATGCAGAAAAAAACAGATGTTTAGGCCGCCAGACCTGGTATTCTTTCAGTGTGCCGCCAACTAAGTTCGGTGGGTGGTCAGTGATTTCCTCACGGATTCTGTGCGCTGTGTTGTAGTAAGTCTGTTCTTCAGACTTTGCCGTGTACTCGTCATCTTCCGACTGCGCAGCCTAAACCTCAAACGCATAGAAACATGAAATCAGAAAGAAAACATACTTGTATGATCACACGGTTCCTCGTCTCCTCGTCCATGTTTTCCAAGGACAGTTTGCTGGTCTCAATCGAATTAGTCTCGTTAGTTTCTTCCGCCTCTGAATCACTGCTCGATGACGTCTCATCACCGCTACCACTTTTTTCGTCTCGTGACAGAACCTCGTAACTAAATAACATGAATACAATAATGCAAATTAAAGTAATACTTTCAAACTATACAAATACACATAAATTTCTTAAAACATATAAACAGCATAAAACGATATATTGTACGAGAATTCTATACTAAGACAACCGGGATCATTAACGAGATGACGTAACATGACGAGTTCACTGCACATATTTTCTTCATCATCCAAAATTATGGCAACTCGTTTTCACTGGAAATAGTGCATTGATAACTGATATCGACAGTATGAAATACCAAGTAACGAAAGTACGATGAAGTATGCTAAGCATACACAATTAATACGTGAACAAGTACTTCTTGTTCTTGCCGGAAGGAATCTTTTGCCCTTGCTGGAAGGAATGCCTTAGGGTTTTCAGTTAGCCATGGGTGGAAAACATCATAAGCTATAGCAAGGGTGCGCTACGACTGATTAAAAAGAGTATAAGTTTTCACCCCTCGAAGTCGACCCGGGTCATACAAATTCACTTTCGAGCTGGCAAAGCAGCTGTACACCCGTATTGCTGCAGAAAGTTGGAAGATGCGAATGGGAATAAAACTGCACTTCCGGTATTCGTTGTCTAACGGAAACAGAACGATGTAGAAGCATCATTCAGCAGAGACACGTATATGACTACTATTCGTTAAATTAGGTCGTTTTTACTTTACTCCACTTGGTGAGGCTCAATAATGGAACTGAAATATTGCAGAA